AATMTMTTTTYTGRARGTTYAKTGGRGTTRTTAAATCACCCCRAGTGGGACAAGCAAACCAMAAAGGCAGYTGGATCCCWAGCCTGAACTTTTAAACCCAAGAGCTGCGAAATACCAATCCTGGAGCGAGGAKAAATGGATTTCCTCAGGTTTAGGGGGCCTGAATGATCAATCAGCACACAAAGGACTCCTTCCATCCCTAATGTGCTTTTGCTGGGAATAATATATGTAAGGAGAATGGAGTTTTTAACCTTTTCTCCAGAGAACGACTGCTTTTCAGAATTACTCGACGGCAGCGAYGGGGATGAAGAGGAAATTCTTGTCTGTGGAGAAGATTTAGAGCTTAATCCTTTTGATGGCTTGCCTTACTCCTCCCGTTATTACAGACTGATGAAAGAGAGAGAAGAGCTCCCGATATGGAAAGAGAAATGTACTTTCATGGAGAGTTTGCTTCATAATCAGATYGTGATTGTGTCAGGAGATGCTAAGACCGGCAAGAGCTCCCAGGTCAGTACAACAGACTTGGCTGGGGTTTTTTTTTTTTAATGTATTTTTAGAACATTTAATGAGGTATGAATTTCAGAATTCCTATATTATCATCCAAGTATTAAGGCCAGAGAGGAAAAGTGAAAAATAGAAGGTGAATAAGGATTAATGCACTCAAATGCAGATTTGAAATATATTAAACATCTGAATAAGTTTCTTCAAGCACTCATAAAAATTTGCACTTAYTTTGTGTTTTGGCTCTGATTGGTGCCATAACAGGAGAGAAATACAGTGGATTCATCATAAGAGAAGGTGAAAAAAAATCTCAGGGAGTGAAGGATTGAATTCAGCAGGGCAGTTCCTTGGGTAGAATTAATGGTCTTTCCATCCCTTCAGCCAGGAGCAAATGTTGTCTCCAACAGCACAAAATTACTTTACAAACTCATGTTAAAGCACATCACTGAAGCCAAGATCTCAGCTGAGTCTAAGCACACAAATATCAGTCAGGACTACAAAGTCCTGCTGTAACAATATATAACAACCCTGCTCTGTTGTCACAGTGAGCAGAGAAGAATTTTCCAGGGCTATCAGCCAAAAGATTATTGTTTATGATTGGGATCAGGAGTAAACTTTCTTGCTGGTAAAGCTGCAGAATAATTACTGTTGCAGCACATCTCAAATATCCCAGAGACTTCAATGTTGGGCACTGTCAGGGATCACATCTTGAACTGGAAACATCACACTTCCCCCTGAAAATTCCTGTGTTCCCATAAAAATGATAAACACCCACCTGGTGCCCAGAATAATTTTTGGAGAGCAAAGCCTTTATCCCTTGTTACTGGCTGCAATTTATGCACAAAAAACTTGTGTGATAGTAAACAATTTCTAATAAATGTTACCTTTTAAATTGCCCTTCAACAAGTTTAACAAGATGCAGYACTTTGCCAGTTGGTTTTTCAACATTTCTAGAAAGGCATATAATTATACAGAAATAAATTGCATGTGGCTGATGCACACATACAGTTTTAAATGTTGATTAAATGAAAGATTTGAAACCTAATACCACCATTAAAATAATRTTTATAATACAATTTTGATTTCTCATAACAGCAACACATGGATATCTTCCAGTGTTGATTTTCTGTAAATACATAAATTAGGAAGCTGCTGTGTAAGTTCCTGGAGTGGTTCGGTTTGAGTTTTCTGTTTGCAGAAATTTCATGAGAAATTAGTGATATTTACTGGGGCATTTATCAGATTGAACTCCTGTTCTTCCTGGGAGATGTTTTCTGTGGATATGGTACAGTAGAGAAGGTTTGGTGCTGAGCCAGCCCTGAACACCGYGGCACCGATCTCGCTGGATCCACCAGCCCTGATGTGCTGACAGTGACACTGCTGTCACCTGCTCCCCAGAGCCCAGCTCTGCCCCTAAGGCAGCACATTCCAGCTAATCTGAGTCCAGCTCAGCCATTCTCATATAAACCTTCCAGTCCATGTTGAGAATTTAAGGGTTCCCAAGTGCTGACATTGATAATTCCTGCCAGCGAGCAGTGAGCGCTCAGCTTGATTTAATTGTTCTGATGCCTAAATCCAGCTTACCTAAACCAGAAGCTGGACAAAATTAAGAAAATAAAAAGCAGTTCTGTTTATTGCA